ATCTCTGCTCACTCAAAACACAAACCCGGATGCTCGAGCACAGATGGCAGAAATCCGGCCTCACGATTCACCACCAGCTGTGGCTCGAGCACCTCCGCACCTACTGCCACTCCCTTTCACAGGCCAAAACTGACTTTTACTCCAAAATCATGCTGGAGGCAAACAACAATCCAAAGACACTGTTTTTCACTGTCCATCACCTCCTCCGTGTACCCACCTCCCGTCAAGCCCCCTTGATCCTCACGTCTAAACGCCAAGTGCGAAGAGGTCCTAGACTTCTTTGCCTGAAAAATTGAAACATCTGCTTGGCAGCATCATTCCACACCTCCCCCTCCCCCACCATGTCCCCTTTCACCCCACCCAGACTATCCACACCACCTTCTCCCTCTGCCACAGCTCCTGCTACTCCCCCCTCCTTACACCTTTGCTCCCATTTCTCCCTCCTCCCTCTCAATCACAATAACCCAGATGAAGTTCACAACTTGCTATCTTGAACCTCCACACCCAGCTGCTGGTCACTCAACTTCCCCTTCTCTCTCCCCTGCTGGCTGACACGGTCAACCAGTCTCTCTCCTCAGGCTCCGTTCCACTCCCCCTGAAAACCACTGTCATCACACCCCTCCTCAAAAAACACACCCTTGATCCCTCTAATCTCTCACACTACCATCCCATCCTCAACCTACCCTTCCTTGCCAAAGTCCTGGAATGCATTGTTGCAGGTCAACCTCGATCACATCTCTCCCTCCATTCCCTCCTCGAGCCCCTGCAGTCTGGTTTTCACTCTGCCCACAGCACAGACAGCGCTTGTCAAACTCACAAACAACAATCTCTCTATCTGTGACCAGGGCTCCCTCTGCCTCCTCGTCCTTCTGGATCTCTCTGCCGCGTCTGACACAATCGACCATGCCGTCCTCCTCCATCGGTTCTCCTCCCTCATCTACCTTAGTGGGACCGCACTCACAGGGTTCCAGTCCTACTTAACCAACCACCTCCACTTCATCTCAGCAAAGCGTTTCTCCTCCTGCCCCTGCCGGGTCACCTGCAGGGTACCTCAAGGCTCCATCCTTGACCCTCTTCTTTTCCTTAACTATATGCTCCCTTTGTGCGATGTCATCTGCAGACACGGGGTAAACTTCTACATGAATGCAGATGACACACAAATCTACTTTGTCTCCTCCAGTACGAACTCCAGGTCTGCCGATGAGCTAACAGCTTGTCTGGGAGACATCAAAGCCTGGATGAGTGTAAACTTCCTGCAGCTGAATATGCACAAGATGGAAGCCATAATCCTTGGCTCCCGTCAACAGCTTCACTCCTAAAGATCTAAACTCCTCAACCTCCCTAGACTCTCCCTCAGACTCACTGAATCTGTGCGCAACCTAGGCATCCGGTTCGACCTCCAACTGTCCTTCCTTCCCCACATCCGGTCCCTGACCAGGACCGCCTTCTTCCACCTCCACCACATTGCCTGCCTCTGACCGTACCTTATCCCAAATGCAGCCGAAACCCTCGTGCATGCATTTGTCACCTCTCGCTTGGATTATTCCAATGCACTCCTTGTCGGTCTCCCCAGCTCCACCATTCACAAGATCCAGCTCATTCAAAACTCTACCACTCGCATACTGACCCAGACCAAACTCTGTACCCACACCTCACCAGTTCTGGCCAGGCTCCACTGGCTCCCCATCACTGAGCAGATCTACTTCAAGATCGTCACACTCATGTTCAAATCCATTCACTCCCTGGCACCTCCCTACCTCTCCAACCTCCTCACTCCCCAATCCACCACCCAGTGCCTCCACTTGACTAGCACCAGCCTCCTGCTTGTCCCTCGCACCCTCTGCCCCACCATTGGAGGTCGTGCTTTCAGCCACTATGCCCCAAAACTCTGGTACACTCTCCATCATTCCTTTAGGCTTGGCCCCTCTCTCCCCTCTTTCAAGTATCACTTGAAAACTTTCCTGTTCGACCATGTTTACGCCTACATCCCCACTCCCCCCAGCTCGGAGTCAGGCTCCGCCACTGTTAAGCACTCTGAGTTGCTGCCCTGTGTGGAGGGTGCTATATAAGTGCAAGTTTTTGTGGATGTTGTTGTTGACCCTCTGGACCCTCTGGTACTCTGTTCGGACACCAATCTCAGTTTGAACTTTCATGAAACCTACCCATGTATTGCACATTAAACCAGCCACATTAAACCACATTTATGAGGTCTTTTAAATTTTACAAATGGGGTGGAACATGGGGTGAAAATTGTGACCTTGTTGTGGAGTTTGTTAAACGGTTGGACCCAAAGCTTTCAGCAGACATCATGGAGGTTGCAGTTCTCAAAGATTTTGGGTGCGATTCCCAGGACTCCAGCTCAGACACTCAGCTCAGCTCACATTGAATTACTTGTTACAGTTTCAACCCATTGATTCCAAGTTGCTTGTGGACCTACAGATTTATTATGACCTATCCTTTCCTAAAGAGAAATGGTTGTGTAAAATTATTCTACTCACCAAGAACTGTTTCCTTTTAAAACATATTTATGTAAAGATTGGATTTTAAGTCTCACAAAACACTTTTCTCCTTTGTTTAATTATTTGGATGCTGACTTCATAAGGCTGCCAATTCGTAACCATCTTGTTTATATTCATATTATTTGTAAAATAATAACTATTATGATTTAACAGAAAATTCTAAATATATAAATCTTCTGAGACCAACAAAATGATAGACTATGTCACTTCAAATATTTTGGTTAAACTGTTTTTTTCTTAAATTGACTGACAGTCAACTCACATGATGCGCAATGTACTATATGCACAATGAGATTTTTTGTTTTAATGAACCAACTCAGCCAATTTTTATTTTACCAAATGACTAATTATCTGCATTGTTTCTTTGTCCGCAATGAGTCCGGTTCCAATTTATTGGTATAACTAGCTTAATTTAGTGCGTTCTGTATTAAAACTATTTGCTCATCCTCTCCAGCTGGTCCTCTGTGGCACAGTAGGTTTCCTGAACCAGGTAGATCCATAGGTTTCCAAGGCACTGCTACTGACAGCACCGCCAGCCCGGCTCATCAGCAGGACTTGGAAGGGGAGACCAGTCACTAGGGACAGGGACGCGTTCCACTCAATTCCCGTTAACCCTGCAAGCCAACAGATAGGGTGGTCCTGGCTGGACAAACAGCAGGAAAGCTTGCCAGACAGTGCCATTATTGGCAAGCCATGCGGTTTTAGCTGGTTAGGCTCCAGTAGCACCCCAATGCACACCATGGATCCCCAAGCCATGGCTCTTGCCAACTTGCGCCTAATACTTTCCAGTATTAGGTCAGCAGGGTGTGTCCCTCCAGGGAGAGAGTGCGCTTCCATTCCAACAATCTATCTCTGGGATTTCCATGTGTAGATGGGATGCATGGGATTCTCGGTTTGGTCTGGATACTCTTAACCATGGTGATGGTTTCCTCATGAGTCAGACACCCTCGCTGGCTCCAAAAAAAAATTGTCCTCCCGAAAGGGTAAACAAATTCCAAGCGCTAGCAATAAAACCCGACACACGTGGGAGGTTTCTGAGAATGTAATAATAATAATAATAATCCTTGCATTTGATATAGCGCTTTTCACGTCGGGAGGACGTCCCAAAGCGCTTCACAGAACACACTGTAAAGTGAATTGACTGTATATTTGTGGGCGAACGCGGCAGCCAATTGCGCACAGCAATGTCCCACAAACAGTCGTAGATTGAAAATGACCAATTTATTATTGTTTTTGGTTTTGGAGGGATTATTATTAGGCTCTGTGTGGAGTAAGGAAACTTGCCCAAGGTTTCGCCCTGACTGGAATTGAACTCAGGTCTCTCACTTGCAAAGCGAGTGCTCTAACCACTGAGCTACAGGACTCCATGTACAAACTCCCCTGTGTATCTTAATGGCAATCTTATCAGGTCCTTAAGTCAGAACGCACTGAAAGTTGCTGCTGAGATTTACTTGTGGTGTTGCACGTAAGGACAGTGTGTCGGGGAGCAGTGAGACGGGCTGGGTATGGATGGCGCAATCCAAGAGAGGACACATCAGATGCTGCTTTTTAGTTGGCTCCCGGCTGCGGGCTTGAAAGAGCAAGAACAACAGGGGTCGGAGGGAGAGGGAGAGGGAGCAAGGCAGGCAGGGCAGGGAGGGCAGGGCAGGGAAGGGAAGGCAGGGCAGGGCAGGGGAGGGCAGGGCAGGGCAGGGAGGGCAGGGAGGGCAAGGCAGGGCAGGGCAAAGCTGGGCAGGGCGCTGCTCAGGCGAAGGTGAAAGCAGTGCAGGAGTCACTCACTCACTCATTCACTCACTGAGCCTCTCACTCACAGGAACTTCAGCAGCGCATCTGACCCACACAGTGGGACACACAGTGGGACCGACATCAGCCAACAGCAGCCAGAGCAGAGCAGCCAGAGCACAGCAGCCAGAGCAGCCCCAGCGGGTCCCCCACCCCCCACACCCCACCCCGCTCTCCCTCTGCTTTTTACGTCCGATCTGACCCTTCAGCCCAAGTGACCAGAAATGGTGAACGCGGTCCTCGTTGGGGGGATGACAGCAGCGGGAAAAAAAGCGGACAACCGAGGCAGCACTTCAGCGCACAGTCACTGTCTGCCCTTTTAGAGAAACTCACTGAGAGACAGACACACAGATATATATATATATATAGATACAGATACACAATACATACACATATACAGATATATATATATATATAGATACACAATACATATACAGATATATATATAGATACACATACACACATATACACACATATATATAGATACACATACACACATACACACATATATATATATATTTTTTTCGACCTCAATTTTTTTTGGGGGGGTTCGTTTTGCATTTGTTTATTATTATTTATTTGGCGGGAGCTCGGCTCGGCTCGGTTCGATCCCGGGGTAGAAACCCGCTCCCGGATGCCTTGAAAGGGGCGCAGGAAGAGCCGGGGGTGGGGGTGGGTGTGGGTGGGGAGGGGGGGGGGAGAGAGAGGAGGGCTGCAGCTTCCAGTCATGGTGGGGGCACTGGCCGGGTTTTCAGTGGCCAGTCTCTTGACGTTTGGCTACCTGTCCCGGGACTGGCCACCAGGACCCGGGTCTTCCTCGGGGGGCAGTGAGCCCCCCTCCAAGCCCCACCTGATCTTCATCCTGGCCGACGACCAGGGCTTCCACGACGTGGGCTACCACGGGTCCGAAATCCGCACGCCCACCCTCGACAGACTGGCCGCCCAAGGGGTCAAGCTGGAGAACTACTACATCCAACCCATCTGCTCCCCGTCCAGGAGCCAACTCATCACTGGCCGGTAGAGTATCGATCAATAGTCGCTACTGGTATTCTTCCTTCCTGGCTCCTCGCCTCCTCCTCCTCCTCTCCTCCTCCTCATCCTCACTCACTCCACTCACTCACTCCACTCACTCACTCACTCCACTCCACTCCACTCCACTCACTCACTCCACTCACTCCACTCCACTCACTCACTCACTCACTCCACTCACTCACTCACTCCACTCCACTCCACTCACTCCACTCACTCACTCACTCCACTCACTCACCCACTCACTCACTCCACTCACTCACTCACTCACTCACCCCATCATCTCCCCTCCACTTCCCCCCCCCCAAAAAAAAAACCGCTCTAAAAAGTCTAGAGGTACATAATGATATGTTCATAATCATGATGATGATGATAATAATAATAATAATAATAATAATCCTTGCCCTTTGAGACGTCTCAAAGCTTGTGACGGAATGTATTGTACAGCGGGTTGACTGTGCGGTGCGCGGGCAAAGTTTATCCGCGTCTGCAAGACCTGATGGAGAGAGAGGGAGAGAGGGTGGGGGCGGGGAGGGGGGCGTGGGGGTGAGGGCGGGGGTCGGGAACTGTTTTTAGGCAATTGTTGAACAAGTTGTCGGCTAATTCAGCTTTGGTCGGTTTGCTGCCCAAGGGTTGCGAAGAGCCATAAAGTGGCAGCAATCATCCAGTCAGGCTATTAGCTGTACAAATGCAATTAATATGCATTGCAGGTGTGCAGGCAAGTGCTGCTGGAGGAACTATTTCTTCTACACTAAGGCTAAAGCTGTTGTCTTTTGTTGAAATGTTTCTCCCGATGCCCTGGCCGACAATCTCTCAAATAAGATTGGGGATTCGCTTCATGGGCGTCTGTGGCACATTACTGTGTGCACCTTGACTGCTGCGTTCACCTACAAATTACACTGCACTTAGCAGTAAATGCTTGAGATGTCCCCCTAAGGTGAAGGGCCCCATATGAAATTCAAGTATTATTTATCAGTATTTGAATTATTTATTATGTTAAAACCCACACAATAAATTCAAATGATTTTTTCTTGTGCTTGATAATTGATGTTAACAGGAGAAAAGCTTGTCAAAATTGATTTGTGAACTACTTTTAACTTGAAGAAACATAAAAGCTAATGGCTGAGGAAAAGTAAAACGCCAATAATTGTATTATTTTGACATTTATGTGAGTTAATAGTAAAGATGTGTTAAAATCAGACAGACAATATGTTCATTTTTAATCAAAATATTATTAGTCTTTTTGGCTTTTGATGATTGGAGGGAGTCACTTGTTGAATATCTAGTGAACTACTATTTTTCAATTGAGTATCCAGTTTGGGGAGTGTAAGAAGGGTTTCTTTAGTGCTGAGTTTGTTTCAAGATCGCACGGCTGGCAGTGGAAGATTGGAATTGAGTCAATCTTCTGTGGTAGTCTTGGTTATCCAATACCTGAGGCAAGTCCACAGTACCCCAAGGAACAGCTGGTGATGGTCCAGTCAGCCTCGGTCATTAGGAGGATTAGTCTCGTTGCTGGGATTTTTCACGCTCGGCTCCTGATAATCTTGCATACCAAAGCTCTAGAGGTGAACCTAGTTGGATAAATAACAGGAACCCTTGCAATAATTGGCTACAGTTTTATCAGGTTAAACTCCACCACTACTGTAATATACACATACACACCAAGCCTTGGCTTTTGCTAACATGCGCTAAACTCTCTAGGTTTAGGTGAACAGGGTACATCCCTCTATAGAGAGATTACGCACTCAAAACCGGACAAATGGAAACTATATGAATGTTGGATTCTCAGGAGCTTGGTTTGGTGATGGGTTACAGCACCAGCCAAATACTAGGGTGAGCAAAATACAATAAGTAAATCAAAATTAAGGGAGGCCTAAGTTGTATTTTACACAAATGAAGGAGTCTGAGTTTAGATACCAGCTGTCAGATCAGAATTGAAGTTCTAAAGAACACCATGCTTCTGCTCTTAGGTTTGGGTGATTTTTGTTTCACCACAATGTGGCATACCATTTGATGAATATTAGTTACCAGGAGACGATCAGTAAAAATCACATTACATTTTACTCCAGAGCCTATGTGAATGATCTCAGAAGAGAAAGTGTAGATTCACGTCTTCTAGATGCCTCAAAGCGCTTCACAGAATATACTGTAAAGTAAGTTGACTGTATATTTTGTGCGCAAAACAATCCCCATGGTTTCATTTCTGGGAGTAGCACACTTGTGCTCTAGTGTACGGCGATACTGAGTTACCTTCATATTGGTAATCAGATTTCACAGTCATTCAAACCTAGCATTATATTCCAATGCAGCATTGCATTGAATCTGTTATATGGTCCACATATACCACCTGTAAGCACCATCCGCATTCATTGTCTCCAGCAATTTTGCTTTCTTTTTTCTTTGTCTTGCAGCCCTCCAGTGATGTGATCTATCTCCTGGTTTTAAATTAGCGCTGGTGCACTGATGTGAAAGTTGTACATTTTGGAATGGAAATAACAAGAGTGGGAGTCTAACCAGTTTGATAAAGTAGCTATCCAATTCCACCAACAATGCCTGATTCCTGAGCTGCCCACCTACATGAAAGGATGCTTTGCTAGCTGTGTACAGTCTCCAATAATCACCTCTGTGTACCATATACAGCAAACATAGATGCGACCTTTATGATCCTGCAAAGTAACATTTGTTGCTCACTGCTGTTTTCATTCTGTGCAGATACTGAATTTGGATACCAGCTGTCAGAACAGAATTGAAGTTCTAAAGAACACCATGCTTGTGCTCTTAGGTTTGGGTGATAGCCAAATATGGACATTTTTGAACTACAATAGTGTCTGGTTACATTTGACTAATCTGTGGTTCCCTGCCTTTACATTTTGTCTGTTCGTTCATGCAAAAATGTTACTTAAATGGGCTTTATTGTGTAATGCTTAGCAACTCGTCCAGTTTTTAAGTGCACAGTGCACAACATCTGGCATCAACTGTAATTTTTTTCTGGGGGGTGGGTGGGGGAGGGCGAAGGAGGTAAGCTGGTTCTCCTTGGAGCTGAGTTGGATCCAAGGTGACGTGATTGGTAAAGGAATGTTGGAATCAAGTCAACCCTCTGTGATGGACTCCATAGTCTGGTTCATGAGCCAGACAGGTCCATAATACTCCAGGGCACGTCTCACGCCAAGATTAGCCAGCCTGCTCATTGGCAGAACTTGAAGTGGCAGATCATTGGAGGGGTAGATCAATCACTGAGAGTAGGGAGCAAATAATCCCGTAAAAAAAAAAAAAAATTTGGTCACTGAAACCAAGTTTGTGGGATACTACTCTACACAATTGACTGCCACGTTTCATCCACAAAATATACAGTCAATTCACTTTACAGGATGTCCTGTGAAGCGCGTTGAGACGTCTCAAAGACGTGATAAAAGGCTATAAGAACATAAAAACATAAGAATTAGGAGCAGGAGTAGGCCATTCGGCCCCTCGAGCCTGCCCCGCCATTTGATAAGATCATGGCTGATCTTCAGACCTAACTCTAATTACCTGCCCTATCCCCATATCCCCTAATCCCTCTATTTTTTAAAAATCTATCAGTCTCAGCCTTGAAGATGTTCAAGGACTGAGCATCTACAGCCTTCTGGGGTAGTGAATTCTGTAAATTCACTACCCTCTGAGTGAAGAAATGTTTCCTCAACTCTGTTCTAAAAGGCTGACTCTTAATTTTAAGACTGTGACCCCTAGTTATAGATTCTCCTACCAGGGGAAACAGACCCTCAGTGTCTGCTTTATTCAGCCCTTTAAGAATCTTATATGTTTCAATAAGATCTCTCCTAATTCTTCTGTACTCTAGAGAATATAGCCCTAGTTTATTCAGCCTATCCTCAGAGGTCAGTCCCCTCATCCCAGGAACTAACCGAGTGAATCTAAGCTGCACCCCATCTAGGGCAAGTATGTCCTTTTTTAAATAAGGAGACCAAAACTGGACACAATACTCTTATGTGCGCTCTCACCAAGGCCCTATACAGTTGCAGCAAGATTTCCCTACTCTTGTACTCTAAACTCTATATCAAATACAAGGATTATTATTATTATTCCCACTCAGCTCCTGTTAACTTTGCAACCCAAAGTCCTAACGGTTAGCATGGTTCCAGCTGGACACACACGAGAAGCGTGCCAGACACTGCTTTGAATGGCAAACTATGGGGTTGTAACTGATTAAACTCCAGCAATATCCCGATGATAAAATTGTTCATTCACTTCATGGCTGTTTGTGGGACATTGCTGTGCACAAATTTGTTGCCTCATTTACTTCGAAATCACTTCACTTTACAGTAAATGTTATGAAGTGCTTTGAGACATCCTAACGACATGAAAGAAGTTATATCAAATAGAAGGATTATTATTATTCATGGCTTAATAAATCCAAAGTCTTGAATTTTCTCATTTGCCTTAAGGCAATTGTTTTAAAATTTAAGATCTCGCAGAATTTTGGAAATATCTGAAATTCAGTTTTAATTTGGAAGCAGGTTCTGTTGATGAACTGTGGGAAAACAGGTTACCAATTAAGACTGAATTTAATAATTTCTCAAATTTCTGCACAATCTTAAATTTTACTGCAATAGTCTTAAATCTAGGACCATGAGAGATTTTGGGCCCCTACTCACTTCTTCCACAAGTGAACAGTTTTATCTTATTGGTGAAAAGTTCTTTTTGGCTTCCCTTTTGAATATTTTTAATACGTGTCTCCTTGGTACAGTGACTTTATGACTTGATGCCCAGAACTGTGCACAGAGCTGCAGACAGGAAAATACCTGCATTTTATTTATAGCAACCAACCACTTTGATTTGATTTGTACATTTTTTCTCCCTTCACTAAACCCATAACCTGGTATCCTGATATTGAGTTTAGCAACAAACAAGTACTGGTTGACCTATTGGTTGTATTTCACACTAATGCCAGATTACAGAACATTAGGAGGGGATATAAAATTGGAGAGAGCAAT